GATAAATTGGCGAGCATACGTTTGCTTTCGATAAATTGTCTTTAGGCCTGCATATTTATATCGTAATTAAGTAAAAATAGCTATGCGGACTGGTAAAAAGAATAGTGCGGTTGTTAGACTGAAGGGAGGGGGACAAAATTGGGGTCGATAATTTGATCAGTGTCAGGGTAGGGGGATTGGCGACTGAGAAAGGCTATAATTTGCGGGCGGTTAAATTGACGACTTTTGGTCATGTTAACTACGGCGCCGTTATGAACTTCTGTGGGGCGTACATGACTGGTTTACATAGCTTGATGGCAGCCGCTTCTGCCGTTCCCAATAGACACTGTCCAAACAATGTTTTATAGCTTGAAGCCACTTGGAAAGCCCCTCCGGAATCCACTCGATGATCTGAGGTTTTGTCAGTTCCTCTGAAATTATTTGCGGTTAAAACTGCTGTCTTTTTTCTTGGCAAAACATAGACCGAAACCGTTGAGACAAATCTAAATGATAAATACGCAAGACAAGGGAGATTGAAATAGCTGATTGTTGTCAACCGGCCATATCTCATCCCAGGCCTGAATGACCAGGACCTTTATTTTGGATTCTTTGGTCATTTTTAGGGGGTTTAATAAGTCAGAAATGGACTGCCCGACTGCCCTTGTCTTTATCGGTACACCTTGTCTGCATATATGTCTGGTCGCTATGTGGCTGTCTGTAGGGATTCTAGATTGAAGATCAATGAGCAGCGGAAGGAACACATTTTGCAATTAAATCGGTGAATAACCCTCTACAAACTGGGGGGCAGAGTCTACGAATTACACAGGAATGTTCTTTTGTTCCCGAGGAACTTAAGCCTATTCTAACCCCATCTCTTGCGATGTCGATATTTCAATTTTTATGTATAAACGCCGAAATGCATTAACATAAAAAGTAAGGGAGACTGGAATGACCATTTCTTACTTATTAGTTGTTTACAGCCAGCCATACCCAGCCTCAGGGAAAGCGACCTCGATATTCGAGCCCGCGACCTTGTAAGCTGGCAATCCAACGCACAACGGAATGAGTAGGTCCCCTAACTCGATCGCCGAACGCCCTTGTCTATTCGCCGATTTCCGAGAACACTGTCACCCGTTCATTCCAGAAGCCATGTTCTCCATCGCTCGATTCCACATTTGAGGCGTTCCTATGAAAGACGCCACCTGTTAAGTAGACTTCCGTTGTGCTGACTCGCGTTAACTTATCCTGTTGTTCTTAGCACAGCTGTTGCTAGGTCCACATCGACATGGTGGTCTGTGTTCAGACGCTACAGAGCTATTATTACCCTTACGCATGCGCTCAACTGTAACCTGTCCAACTGTAGACATGACTGCAGGGGACCGCCTACACTCGCAAGCAATTACAGACACAACAATTTAATC